GTGGGACCAAGAAAAAGGGCCCTCTCTGTGGTGGCTTCCTTTCTATGGAATATTGTTTCCCCAAATATAAGTTTATACTTTTATAATCTTACCTTGATATTTTTCTGGAAGGTGCTGAAGATGTGGTTCCGTCAGCAGGCATGGAGACCCCAGGTTGACACAGAGCCAATCAAGTAATTGGTTTGATTGTGTTTGATACTGCTGCAGGGGGTCAGGGAAGGTTTCTATATTTTGGATTTTTAATTTTGTAAGCCACTCAAAGTCTCTCTTACGTGAGCAGCTAAATAAACTTGTGAAACAAAAAACAGACAGACACTGCATGGTATTTTTTGTACATACCAGTACCAAGAAATAAAAAAAAATTAGCTTATTCATTGCCCTCATTTCTGTGATGTCTTAGCTCAATGTTTGTCCTGTCTATTATTAATTATCTTAACTGATTGCATAATATTTTTGCACTCCTAGGTTTGAAAGCCAAAAAAATCATATCAGATAATTATCAACAATTCCTTAATGAGTTGGCCTCAATTTTCAAGAGCCAGAATAATTCTAAGTATATTTGGCATCTAATCCAGATGTTCTGCATCCTGCTTAGTATCCTTATTTGAAAAATATCTAAATCTTTTCTGAATATTTTAAGGGAGGTAATGGCTAGATGATACACACTATAAATGCTAATGTTATTATTTCAGTAAATGGAATATTGTACATAAGCAAACTCACAAAATTAGTGTAAACTCAAATTGTTCTATGCCAATGTGTGAACCTGGGCAACGGGATAGTGTTTCCAAGTTACTAGCCATTTAACCATTGTAAGTGGGTCACCATATTCTGCAAAAGCAGTGAATTAGATACCATTAAGTCTCGCTCAACAATTAGGACAAATGCCCTGCAGTTTGACCATACCCATCTGCACATTTGTCTTTCCTGCCTATTCCCTGAACCCCCCAAGCATATTTTTAGTTCATCATACACTCACATTACATGCCCAAATCACATGAAGTTTTCCTTATTCATCATCCCTTGAAGGGAACATCCAGGCTTCATTTGGCCTAGAATTAGATGATTGGTTTTCTAGTCAAGGATAACTTTCATAGGCTTCTTGAAAGACATCTACCTATCTAACTACCTATCATATTACCTCTGAGGAAAAAAATGCTTTAACTATTCTGATCTTTGTTACCAGAGAAATATTTGTATTGTTCAATTTTATCTATCGCCGTCTTCCTCCTTAAAAGTCAAACCTTTTATTTTTCTACTACACTATCCATCTTTATTCTTCAACTGAGCAGACCAAAACTACTTACCAGCTTCATTTTTTTTGCCAACAATAGCATAGTCACTAGGCATGCGAGCTGACACTTTATGTCACTGTTTTAACATAAGAGTAATCCATTTTTGCTTTCATGAGCCAGGAGTGTTGCAAGCTTTTGCTGCTTTTGGCAAGAGTATCAAAAGCAACGTATCACTGCAAGATCCACTCCTCTTGAATATATGGAGATGGGCAGTTCTTAAATATGATTAAATAAATAAATGTGGTAATGAGCATATTTTGCATCTTTCACTACACTCGCCCTCTCTGCTAAGTCTAGTTTCAATAAATAAAATGATGTGCATCTCAACTGAAGTATTATAGCTTCCTGTTTTGACTTCTGTTGTCATCTCTTCCACCTTCACCATTTTTATACACAAAGAATTGGGAATTTTATACTTCCTTGTTTCATACTGAATCATTCTGTCTCCAAGCTCAGTTCCTACAATATGTTCTTATAAAGATTTTTCAGAATAATCAGATATATTAGCAACTCTCATTAGCCTTATTATACTGAACATTTTGGCATGATCTATTATAGTCAAAGGCTCTGCTATATCTGATCAAGCAAAAACAAAACTCATTCTTGGGGGTGGGAATGTTGTTTCTCTTATCTGATTTACGTTATCTGTCTTATCTTGGGTTCTCTGCCTTTTCTGAAATGTGTCTGCTCATTTGGCGTTTCCCTTTTCATAAATGACTTTATTCTTTGTAAGTTGTAAAGCAAATTTTCATTTGCAATTGCAATTTGTGCAATAGTTGATAATTGCTTTTTCCTGTTAACTCTCTTATTTGCTTAAGTATTACCCATGTTTTCCAATATCTGGACCATAATCTGGTTACATACCACGTTCCCCAGAAAACAATATCTATCCCAAAAATAAGACCTAGATTGATTTTCACATGTAAGCCCAATATAAGCCCTACCCCCAAAATAAGCTCTAAAGAACCCGCCCACTCCAGTGCACCTGGATGCACAGGGTGGGGCGAGGCGCGTGGGTAAAAATCAAGGTAGGGTGGGGATGGAGAGGGTGGAGCTGCTTACCTTTGGACAGTTGCAGCCAAGCCTTGCATACCCTGACACTTGCCTTGCCTTGCCTTTCTTCTGCAGTTGCTTGCCACCACTTGCACGTGTCACCCCCAGCCTCTGTTTCCTTGTCAAAGGATTTCAGGAAAGGCTTCTGCAGCTGATAAAAGGTCCAGATTGATGTGTGTGGCACCCCTAACCTCTGTTTTGCTGTCAGAGGCACTGTCAGAGCTCATTTCTCGGCTGCAGAGGCCTTTCCTGAAGAACACTGAAGGCGAAAAGAGGCTGGGGGGTCACCACATGCATCAACCCAGAACTTGTTTCTCGGCTGCAGAGGCCTTTCCTGAACAATGAAACAGAGGCCAGGGTGCTGCCCCAGTCAATCCAGAGCCCATTTCTTGGTTGCAGAGGCCTTTTCTGAAGGCCTCAGATGGTGAAATGAAACTGGGGGGTGCTGCATGTGTCAATCTGGAACTTGTTTCTTGGCTACGAAGGCCTTTCATGAAGGCCTTTGATGGTGAAACAGAGGCCAGGGGTGCCACAAGTGAGCGGCAGCAAGTGGCAGCAGAAGAGGGCCGGCAGCGGCCACACGGGCCCCTGCTGGGTGGGGCTGTTGTTTGCCACCACCACAATGTGACAGTGGAAGACATCCCCCCAAAATAAGACCTGGTGCCTCTTTTGGAGGCAAAAAAAAAAAAATGTAAGACCAGGTCTTATTCTCGAGGAAACTTATTTGTAGGAGTCATTAACACTTTTACTGCCTTTTCTTTATGGCTTTAAATCTCTGTATTTGTACTTTCCATTCTGCTTAATTAGCAGGCAACAATCCTGTAGGTAAAGCTGAACAGTCTCTGACATCATCTAGTGAGTTCTTTCATTATCTTTGATCGTAGTTAGTAGTCATCATGAAAAGATCTACAGTATTCATACTAAATTTACAATCTATAAAATAAAAAGTTTAAACCCTTAATTTGCATTTAATAATTTATTAATTTCTTAAATTATACATTCTATAGCATGATTCAAATAATTTTCTGGTAGTTTTAGAGTTATAGTGTCTAAATTTTGCAAAACATAGAAATGGTTACAGACTAAAATGCACAACTTACATAAACATTTAAATAGAACATTTGTATTCAAAAGTCATTCTACACACATTTTCATAAAAATATAAAAAAATAGTTCAATCATTGATTCATACTTTAACTAGACTAGGATATTTAAGATGTCCCTTCCCACATATTCCTCATAAAAAGACTCCCATCAAAAAAGAAACTATAAAAGAAACTGTATTGATTTGTGACTACTGCCAGTAGCTATAACTCATCACAATGACCTGTTATTTCTTTTCTGTAACCTACAAGAAATGGACTGCAATCTTTCATAATATGCATTTTCCATTCAAATTCATTATATATAACTTGTGCTTTGCAAAAAATAAACATTTTAAAATAAATGACACTAAATTGGAATATGACCAGATTAATCAAATGCATATTATAGGCTAATAATTTTTATGCAAAAATATCACAAGGGGGAGTATTTAAAGATATCATTTTTTATCCAGCTCCACTGAAAATAAATATTTTTCTCATTGTAAGTATTTGTATAATATTTTTTTCTAGGTGCCCAAAATAGCGTGCAGACGACAAAGCAAACACCTCAAACTCTTCCATTTTACAATGCTTTCAGGGCATATTTAATATTAGGGAAAGGCACAAAGATGAAACATTTCAGTTGCAGCACTGAAGACTCCATGCACAGTGCATGCAGTGCAAAAACTAGGGAAGTCTTTAAGCTTGAACAGGTCTGATTAAAAAGATCAAAGCATTTGCGCTTGTTTCAAAGATTCTGATGCATGGTGAAGAGAGACATGTACATAGCTGCCTGCAAGGATTTTTATTACAAAACTGAAGGTGGTCTTTGTTAGTACTGGATAGTGCTGTTTCTCTTTCAGTGGACAGAGGATCACGCTTCTGTTCCAAACCATATTAAAAGGAGTATTCTAGCCTTGTAGATAAGATGAGGCCCATTGGGTACACTAAACCACTTAGATCTGAATGAAAAGAAAAATTGCTATTACAATGTTAAATCACTATTTAAAGAATGACAAAAGTGCAGAAACAAGTGTTGCTAAAAATAATAAGTACTGTTGGTGCCATATGTTCTCATACAGCAGGCTGCTCCTTCAAGATTTCCCTCTGATTTAAGGAGCAATTTGCTATTCATCCTGTATAAATTCATCCTCTATAAATTTGAACATGGAGAACCTCTATCCAAGACATATTCAGAGGGATGAGGCTGTCCCACATGTCCTTCAGGTTCAATCCAAGATCTCTCCCTCTTTCTAGAAGGCTGGAAGAAGCAGAGAAAAAACATCCACCTCTGTCAAGCACTGATCAGAAATAAGTCTAATCTAAAATTTGAACAATTTAAAAACAGTTTGATATTAACAAAGGCAGTTTAAAAGCTTAATTACAACAGCGGGGAAAGGATGTGTTGATCTGCCTCCAGAAAAGTAATTTGGAGGCAGCAAACTTGAAGTGAAGTGGCCCTATCGACTTTTGCTTGCAGCATCGTCAACTGAAATCAGTGTTGCCTTGAGTGAAATAAAGTGAAATAAATAATATCTCTGGCTTAAATGCTTTTTGCAAGAGGATGCCCAGGATTATTGATTTTTTATTTAAATGTTATAACTTTCTGTTTTAGAAAATGCTACTTTTTGGATATTTCTTTACTCTGCTTTTCAGAGTCATTGTATTCCCTTCCCAACCTATAATAAACAGAAGTATGCTCTTTTTTTAAACCCTGTAATGTAACCCTAAGAATTTATTCTGAAACCATGTCATCATAAACAAGGATTCGGCATTTAAAAAGACAACTTAAAATGATCTGGAAAAAATATTCACTCTGATTACCAATGACTTTTACATTCCACTAAATTACAACTATAAGAGCTCAAGGATTTTGGTGGGGGTGGGACAATTAATAAATGGCAAAAGGTAAAAATGCAGGCTAGAAAGAACAAACATTACTAACTCGATGGTTAGTTGGCAATATTTTAGATTTTTCCAAATGTAAAACATAGCATGAAGTCTTGCAAGGATTTCTGGGCTGAAATATTTATCCAACAACCAGGTGCCAAGCTAATGCTTTACATGACAGTAAATTTAAACACATCCCTTTCTCTGAAAGGAAGAAAAATATGAAAGTAAGTTATAAGACTAGAAGGAGTCAGGAAGTACCCCAAACTCTTTCTTTCCCTAACCTCCTCTAAACTGGAAATAACAATTTTTAATTTTGAAACTATAGCATAAACTATTTTTATTCCTTTTGGCCATTTTTTGCTTATAGTAATATTTATTTCTATTGGAAACACAATAGAATACTCAATGAAGTTTTCTTCGCCTGGAAGAATGAATGAGGGAATAGATCTTACCTTTCTCTTCCCCCAGCTATCATATCCTCTCCCACAAGTTTGTGTACTGTGTAAGTAGAAGGAACTAGCAAAATTAACAAAAGAGCAAAAGGAAGTTGTATATGGCAGTCAATCAAAACCTAATGTTACAGGAGGGGTTGCTACAAGACTTTAGGAGAGAATGAGCTTAATTGTAGTAAGATACACACTTCTCAGTATGATGCAAGATCTCTAGCATCATTTTTGTAAGTCTAGAAGGGCAATTGAGACAGAGTCTGGTTTCAATAGGCTGAACAATCCTACTGGACTGAGATGGTAATAAGATCAGTATATAGGATACCAATCACAAAAGAATCCAATTAATGACAATTTGATACTTAACTATTAATTGACTACAATATTGAACTTTTTTTTTACTTTTTCAAACAAGCTTTTCCTGTACAAAATGCAATATTGTTTCTCTGTAACTGAGGAGGGACATTAAATATGGCTTTGGGTATCTTAGCCATCTGAAATCAAATTTCATATTCTCCTTCCATCTTACGTAGACTATAAAACTGATGTAAACACAAGATTGCTGTATGACTATAACACAGGATGATTCAGAAAATATATTCCACTTTCTGGCATGTAAACATCAGGATGACTGGACCTTAATTCATATAAATATTACATTTCTTTAAAAATTAAAAAGAAGGTAGCATTCCCTATTAAACAGTAATCCACAAAAATACTCTTTCAGTAAGTATTACTTGCCATTTAACAGCTTATGGCCTATCAACTACTATGTAAAAACACATACCGTTTTACAACTGTAAAAACAGACAACTGGTTAGTTTCGTTTGGCCATTATGCATTTCCAATGGGAATTATTGTTTAATGCCACCATAGTCCTAGCATCGCACTAAATTGTTCTTCTTCTTTTTCTTTGGTGGTTCATCATCTGTGCTGCTGTCTGTGCTGCTGCTGCTGCTACTGCTGGAAGAACTTGACTCTGTTTCAAAGTCAGAAGAACTAGAAGAACTACTGGATGATGGAGAAGATGAAGAACTGGATGTGCTTTCATCACTATCGCTGTCATCTGATGAAGAGGAGGAGGAGTCATCACTCTCTGATGAAGACTCGCTAGCTGAAGTGATGCTGCTGCTGCTGCTAGAACTTGTCACGCTTTTAGACCTGGACAAAAATTTCAAAAGGACCACCAGACATTATTTAGCAATTTTACTAAAAGATGTTAGATTTTTAGTAGGAAAAAAACCTAAAAATATAGTATTAGGGGACAGCTTGCATCTTCTCCCCAAATATTTTGACATTCACTCAAGGGCTGACATTTCAGGTTACCTTGCAGAAGGCCTATTCTGTGAGGTTTTGCCTCAGCATACATTCTCTCAAAGCAGAAGAACCTGCTGCTTTTCAAGGTTCTCCTGAGACTGGCATGTCAAAGAGCAAATCCTTGCCTGGGGGAGGAGCACGATGGAAAGGGACCCTTATCAAATGATTTGCACAGGCTTACCATATAGTCATCAATAATCATAAAAGAACAACAAACATCAGAAAAAAGCTTTTTTTTTTTTAATTAACACATTTAATTGATTCAAGTAATAATTCTCCAGGCATAGATATCAGCCCATGCAATGATATAGAAATTACTAGATCATTCCCTGTGTCAATGATTTATAGCAGGCATTAAGTTCATGTATCTTCCCCTGCCCCCTTCTTCCTGATGATAAGGCAAGAAATTCTGCAGATATTTAAGTAAAGTCTAGTTTTCTGCAGCAAGGTTTCTATGGTGCATTATATAATCATCCATCCATGTTATACAATCTGAATTGATTGTAACATGTTCCAGACAAAGTTTAAGGTTCTTTTTCAGTGCTTAAGACAGCTTAGAATTTTGCTATCTCACAACCACCCTTATGCAAGGGTGTGCTGATAAATGTATAACAACTGGCTCTGCCAGTTCCATTGCTACTGTTGCACTGCCAAATAGGTGACTGGCATGTCAACTGTTGCAGTTCAGCTCTGCTCTGGTCAAAACTGGCTCACAACATTCCAGAACATTTAACAATTGGCTCTCTCTCAAGCTGGCTCCAGTACACCACTGGATTTAACTCAACAGAGCTTGTGAAGCAGGAAAGGCCCTCTTAAAGAAGCTCTCACATTTTAAGACCAGTTTAGCCAGCAAACAGAATGGCCTTCTATATTTTTCTCAAGCTACAGAATGTACGGCCTCAGAAACTGAGTTTGGTCTCTGATTTTTTTCCCCTTTAAGTACCCAGGAAAGGTCTTGGGTACTTGTGGGAACCCACTGTTAGGTCAGAGAATGTACCGAGTCATTGTGGAGCAGCTTTGAAAAAGGCAGAAATCCATGCTAGAAAAGGAATGGACTAAAAAAAAAAATGTCATTATAATGGTTCTATAAAAATCTATAGTATATCTACATCCATAATACTGTAAACAGTATGCCTGTTACATGGAAGGGGGCAGGCAATATCACAGATTGAAAACTACTGAAGATGAAACAAAAATATTTTAAGAACTCAAAAGTCTTCCCTTTTCACATCTGATTTGTTCAGTCAGTCCCAGCAAGAAATCGCACCAAATGGGCGTTGTTTACCTGAACAACGCTCTGGAATCTTCAAATGGCCTCTTCTGGCCACAAGGTCCTCCCAAAATGGCCGCTGCTGGCCCACAGACCTTCTCAAAATGGCCACTGCTGGCCCCAAGGCTCTTCCAAAATGGCCACCGCCTTCTGCAATGGCCTCTTCTGCCATGAGGTTCCTTCTGCTGTTGAACTTCGCTGCTCTCTAATGCAACCCCAATCGCAGCAGCACTTCGAGCTGCTGCTAATCTTCACCGCGGGGGAAGGAACGATCCCGTGGCTCCAAGTAGAGTGTGGCCGATGCCTCTGCTCTTCAGAAAGCCACCTGACAAGAAACCAGCTTTCTCTTTGCCGTGGCAAGCCCAAAGCAGCAACGAGGGCAGAATTGCCTGCCCTCGCAAAGCAGTCCTGTGACCGAAGAAACTCTGATTCTTCGCCACGGAGGGCTAAAATCGGCCCCTACGGCCCTCCAGAGCAGTCCTCAGCTGTTTGGTGGCTCCCAAACATCAGCTGTGTAGCAGAGTGCCAAATTCAAAAGGGGGAGACAAACGGAGACTTTTTTTCTCTTTTTTAAGGATTTCCTTGCAAGACTGCCTTTGGTCAAAAAACCCCAAAGGCAGGAGAGGCAATACTCTGCGTCCTACTCTGCTAAGAACCGAATAGAAACTGGGAGGGGCTACCTGGAGTGGGTGGAGCTAGGCTAATAAGCCTTTTGTACAGACTCAGTCCTAAGCAGCTAAAGGAGACTATCACCCATCCTGACCTGTCGCAGCCTTACAAAGCAAAATGACTAAGGCAGCCAACGATATTTAAAATAAAGGTAAAAGAAGTACATTCACAACTACAAAAAATAAAATACATAGTAGCTGAGAAAAATACAGCAGTCACTAATATAGCTAGGAGACATTAGGAAAAAGTAATGCAAGGAATGAAAATTGTTCAGCTGGAAACCAGTAGAACTGGGCTAGAGAGCACTGTTATGTCAACACAGACCAAGTGCCTTTCAAGGCCTACAGAAGAACATCCAGGTATTTACTGACTTGGAAATATAAACAGAAGGGGTTTGATTTATGTATAGTGCAGGGGACACATTTTTTAGGTGTATGTGGCTTCATGCTTGTCTGGTATAAAAACACAAAAAAAATCCTAATCAACCTGAGTTGTGTCTGAAATCTTTCTACTATGTGGACCAATTTCTGAAAAAAGGTGCCCGGAGAGCCAAGAATTGCAGGGAGCCTGCATAAAGCCTGACAACTGTGGATGGGGGAGGGAAACATTCTTGAGGTACATTTGCTTCTCAAAAGTATAGAATCAGATTTTCATCCAATGAAAATGGCTGAAAGGAAGTTCAGAATCTTTTTTTTTAAATCTTCACAGAACATATAACTAGCCTATGAAATTCGTTACCAATTGTGGTGATGGCCTAGATATGCCTTTAAAAGAGGATTAATTGAGTATGTAGTCGATCAAGATCAAGGGCTTAGTTTTGAAGACTCAAATGTTTCTCTTGGGTTGGCAGGGTTCCTCCAAATACCAGTTACAGAGCAACAATGACAGGAGGGATTAGGTCTCCAACCACTGCTTACCTCAGAGACATTTGGCTTGCCAATGTGAGAAACAAAATGCTGGGCTAGTGTGGGCTTAGGCCTGGTTTATCAGTTATTCTCATGTTTTGTTTTTTTTAGCTAGCCGTTTTCAATGTGAAAAAGTTTTGACATTTAAACCATTTTACTATATTTCTGTGTTGGCATTTTTATTATTGTTAGTTTCCCTTAATAACAGAAAGGATCTAAATCAAAATAATAATCATATTAAAAAGAATATCTTCTTTCAAGCTAAGAAAGGATTGGAAATGAGCGTTGATAGAGGTTACCGTAAACGCCCTTTCTATCTATGCTGCAAGAGAGCCCAGGATGGGTTGACTCCTTCCTATGACATCATTTAGCTGAGTCTGTACTAAGATATAAAAGCCAGCCCCCGGAAGAGACCCCAGCTTTGGCGAAGATACTTGACAGACTGAAAGGTGTCTCTGAAAGCACAAATGAATACAGAAATATGTCTTACCCTCTCCGAACGAATCAAGGGAGGGGCTGGGCTCTCGCAGCATAAATAGAAAGGGCATTCACGGTAACTTCTACCAATGCCCATTCTGCTCCATGCTGCATTGAGAGCCCAGGAAGGGACACACTAAAGCTTGCATGTCCACGGGCGGGTCCTCATCCGGCTCATCACACCGACTGTGGAACCACTTGTTGAAGCACCCGTCTGCCGAAGGCTGCAGTCGCCGAGGCAAAGGCATCCAGAAGGTAGTGTCTGATGAAAGGAGACGGGGATGTCCACGTGGCCGCACGACAAATCTCCTCCAAGGATGCTTGGGTCGCCCAGGCAGCAGAAGTGGCCGTGCTTCTGGTAGAGTGCGCCATCAGACCTCAGGGAACCGGAAGGGCCGCAGCTTTGTAGGCCTGCTCAATGCAAGTCCTGACCCACCTGCTAATAGCAGGAAAACATGCCTTGTGCCCCAAGTGAGAAGGGAAAAAGGAAACAAACATGGCTTCCGATTTCCTGAAGGAGGAAGTGTGCTTAATGTATATTCTAAGAGCCCTTCTTACGTCTAGCGTGTGCCACTTCCACTCTAAGTCATGGTGCGGGAGGGGGCAGAAGTCAGGCAACACAATGTTCTGGGACCTGTGAAACCAGGTGTTAACCTTTGGAATAAATGAGACATTCAAACGAAGAACAACCCTATCATCATGAAAGGAACAAAGGTCCTGTCTGGTGGAAAGAGCAGCAAGCTCGGAAACCCGCCTGGCTGAAGTGATGGAAACGAGGAACACTACCTTCAGAGTCAGGAAACGGACAGACACTGTTCTAAGGGGTTCAAAGGGAGGCTTCGTTAGGGCATTAAGGACCAAATGAAGGTCCCAGGAAGGATACCTGTGAACCACCGGCGGGTGCAGGTTGGAAGCCCCTTTCAAAAACCTCCTGACTGAAGGGTGATGGGATAAGGAAGGAAACGAACCCCATGAGAGAACTGAGAAGAGGGCCACAACTTGCCTGCATAAAGTGTTGGGGGCCAAACCTTTCTCTAGACCATGCTGAAGGAATCTAAGAACTTCTGCCAACTGGGCTGAAGCAGGAGAGAGACCCTCCCTAAGGCACCATCGGGAAAAGTCCTTCCAGGTGGCATCATAGATGCACCTTGTAGAAGGTTTGCGAGACGCCAGGCTAGTGAGGATGCCCCTTTCTGGGAGATCAGCCTCCTCTAGCCGCTGCTGCTCAAGTTCCACATGGTCAGCTTGAGCCACTGAGGCTCTGGATGGAGCAGAGCCCCCTGGTGAAGGGAGATTAGATGGGCTGGGATCCTCCAAGGAGAAGCCACCGATAAGTTGACCAGGTCCACAAACCAGGGCCTCCTTGGCCAATAGGGTGCCAGGAGGAGGAGCTCTGCTCGTTTCTCCAACATCTTCCAAATTACTGCTGGAATCATGGGAAGCGGGGTGAAGGCATAGAGGAGACTCTTGGCACCGAAGAGCATTGGTCCCCTCCGCTCCCTGGCAAGGAAACCTGGTGAAGAATCTGGTGACTTGGGCATTTTGAGGAGTGGAGAAGAGATCCACCTCCAGTGTTCCGAATCTGAGGGAAAGGTCCCTGAATAGAGATGGAGGAATGGACCATTCTGCCTGGTCGACTAGGCTCCTGCTGAGCCAGTTGGCCTGGGAGTTGTCGACTCCAGAGATGTGGTCCGCCAAGATTGACAACAGGTGTTTCTCTGCCCATAACCCCAACCGTTGAGACTCTCTCATGAGGGCCTTGGACCTCGTCCCCACTTTCCAATTGACATGAGCCTCTGCGGCCATGTTGTCCGTAAGGACTAAAACATGAGAGCCTGAAATGCTTGTGAGCCAGAAAAATGGCTCTAAGCTCTAGCCAATTTATGGGAAGGGTCTGCTCTGACCTGGACCAAACGCCCTAAGCTATCTGGCCCTGCATATGGGAACCCCAACCTAGGAGGCTGGCATCGGTGGTTATCACTAGCCTGTCTGGGTCCCTGAACAGGAGTCCCTTCCAGATTGACGGGGAACGCCACCAATTGAGAGATTGCCGGATTTGTGGCGGGAGTGGGACCTTGATGGATGAGTGGCTGGTTCTTGCTTGTTGGTAGGGAAACAGGAACCATTGGAGCAATCGGGAGTGAAGCCAAGCCCACGGGACGATGCCAATACAGGAGACCATTTTCCCCAGAACTTTGGACAGCAGCGACAGGGGGACAGTTTGATGTTGCTGGATCTGGCTGATGATCTCTGCAAGGCTCTTTCCACGAGCTGGGGACAGGAAAACCTGGCACAACGTGGTATCGATGACTGCTCCCAAGTGTTGCAATTTGGTTGTGGGAGAGAGCTGGTTCTTTTTGGTGTTGATGGAAAACCCATGGCTCTGGAGATATGACAGGGTAATTTGCAGATCCCGATGGGCCGCATGGATGGAAGAGGACAGAGTCAAAATGTCGTCCAAGTAGCATCCTCACTGGATCCTCACTGGAACAGAACGCAGAGATGCCATCAATGCTGCCAGAACCTTTGTTAAGACCCTTGGAGCCGATGAAGGGAAGTGCTCAATACTGGTAATGGGTATTCTGATAACAGAAACGGAGAAACTGGCGATGATGAGGCCAAATTGGGATGTGGAGGTAAGCTTCCGTGAGATCAATGGAAGAGAGGAGGTTGCCCTCCCGAACGCTCTCTAAAATAGAATGCAGAGTCTGCATTTTAAATCGCCTGTATTTTACAAATTGGTTGAGGAATTTTAGATCAAGGATGGCTCGCCACCCCCATCCCCCGAGGCTTTGGGAACGATGAAAAGGCGAGAGTAAAACCCACATCCCTGTTGAGAGGGGGGAACAAGTTGAATAGCCCCGATGTCAAGAAGGTGTTGAATGGTCTGATTCATGAGGGCTTGCCTTAAAATGTCCTGAGAGACAGAACAGATCAAAAAATTTTCTGGGGGTGGCGCTGGGGGTGGGCAGTCCAATTGTAACCCTGACCTAACAGTGCTGAGCACCCAGGCATCTGTCGTTGACTCCTCCAATTTGGAGGCAAAGAAGGCTAGGCAACCTCCAATGGGTGGGGAGAATGAGGGATTACTTAGAGCGAGGGAAGGAACGACCCCCTCCTTCCCGAAAGGGCCGTTTACCAGCAAAAGGTTGTTGCCTGCCAGATGCTTCCGCACGTTGGTCTTGGCGTTGGGAGTACAGCCTCTGAGAGTGAGGGAAGCGGGAGGAGGTCTCCACTCGAAAAGCAGGAGGGCGATAAAGAGCTGGGTGATAGTCGGCTTTCTTCCCACAGGAAGAGAGAACTTTATGTTTATCTCTGGTTTCGATGAGATAAGGTCCCAGAGCATCACCAAAAAGTTTATCGCCTGCGAAGGGAACTGAAGCCAACTTCAATTTTCCGCGTGACTCCGCCTGCCAATTTCGGAGCCATAAAAGTCTTCTTGCTGCTATTGAAGATGCCATGGCCCTAGATGCAAATTTGGCGGAATTGAGAGTGGCATCTGCGGTGAATTCCATTGCTGCGATAATTTTGTTAAGGTCTTGGTGAGACCGAAGGTCAGAAGCAGGCAATCTATTCTGGAGTTGGCGCAGCCACCATATGGATGCCCTCATGAAAAAAGATGCTGCTGTTGAAGCCCAAACAGCCCATGCAGGGGCCTGGTGATTGCACTTGAGGGGCTGTTCGGAACGTTTATCATCCGGTTTCAGGATATCTTCTGGCTCCGTGGGAGTGACAGAAGATGAGAATGAGGCCACAACCGGAATGCCAACAGAACGCACTGCCAGGGCATTGTAGAGGGCTGTGCTGACATTGTAAAAACACCTATCCAGAGAAGGTGGGCAGGGACCTGCTGAAGGGGAAGCGCACTGTTCCTTGACCATGTCCAGGAACAACGTGGGAGAAGGCAAAACTTCCGCATGCACTACAGGCTTGGAGAAGAGTGAGTCTCCTTGGCCAGAGAGATCTCTTTGTGACTCAAGAGCCACCTCCTCTGGTGATAGCTTGGCAGTGACCAAGGCCTTGCTGAATAATGGCCTGAAGAGAATAGGTTTGAAGACCAATGCAGAGGATGTCTGCTCTAGGCAAGAATCTTCTTCCTCTGAAAGATTTTGGTCATAAATCTCACGCTCTGAACGAGGAATAACTGTGTTCAGAAGCCCTTCCTTTCTCATCAACCTCCTCCCATTCTGGTAGCGAAGAATGGACCCTGAGGTCCTGGGGCCTGTGAAATTCAGGGTGAGGAGGCAAGGAACTTATAGATTGAGAAGGGAGAAGGGCCTGAACCCTTTCCAGAGGTCGAAGAATTTGCTTGAAGCCTTCAGCCAATCCCTGCCTAATGGCCAATGAGACAACATCTTGGATATCCCCTGGCCTACGCTCAAAGGTGGAGGCAGAAGGCCAAAGGCCCGCTGCTGTGGGAGTGAAGGTGGCTTCAGGCCTAGATTGAGAAGAGGCTTGAGGTCTGGAGGAAGTGGGGGGCATAGGGCCCAGAAGCCTGTTGGAAGTAGGGCCCAAATCTTCTGAGATCCTGAGGATCTGATTGTTCTGCAAAGGCCCCAGGAGACCAGGATGGAGGATGAAAAGACTCATATATAACTTCTCCTCCTCTGGGAGGGCTTGGCTGGGGCCCACGGGTATCACCTGAAACTTGTTGCAGTTGCCCTCTCATCTGTTGAATTGTTCTGTTAAACTGCCTCTCTAGGACCGCTTGTCTGCGCTTTTCTGCCCTCAACTCAGCCTGAGTTGCCTTCTTAGGGGCTAGAGCCTTAGCTCTGATTTTAGCAGCCACCTCCCTCTGGACTGATTGGGAGCGCTGCCTACGTCTTTTTCTCTTATTAGGCTTAAGAGATTGATCCACTGGGGGGGAAAGCTCTGCCTGAGCCTTATCCTGATCCATTTGTAGAAGGAAAGCTCTTGCGTTGGGAAGAAGCTGTTTAGAAATCTAGAATAAGTCCTTTAGGGTTTAAAATGGCCCCGGGCTTACAAAATGGCCGCTCACCTTGTGATGGAAGGCTTCAATCCAAGATGGCCACTGACTAGGAAACCAGGCTCCGAGATCAAAGAATTGCTCCTTAGGCTATAAAAAGCCCCAAGCGAAGTCAGCAGAAGAAAGCACAACCGCCGGCCACACAATCAGCTGGCTGGCACTGTTATCGATTTGCCAATCGTTTTTACGATCGCTCAAACCGCAGGCGTGGGGGAGGTCTCAAGATGCTGCACAGCTTGCCTGCACAGCACTCTGGCAACGTTATTCCCAACGTTGCAGGAGAGGGAGCCCTGCTCTCCTGGAAGAGCAGCTGCCCAGATCCCTGGGAGCTGCTTGAAATGAGGAAAAAAGTCCTGAAAATCGTTGTTTATTGGTATCTAACGGAACGCTTTCAGAAGCACAGCTACTGACTGAAAGAAGCTGAGTCAAAAGCTGGGGTCTCTTCCGGGGGCTGGCTTTTATATCTTAGTACAGACTCAGCTAAATGACGTCCTAGGAAGGAGTCAACCCATCCTGGGCTCTTGATGCAGCATGGAGGAGAACGGAGAGCATGTCAGTATGAGTCCAAGTGAAAGATAACAATACTATGAAACTATTCCTGCGATGAAATCTATTTAATTTTATTAAAATGATTTATTCACATACCTTTTCTTCTTGTTCTTCCTGTCTGTAGTACATTCGCCAGAGCTGATTGGGAGGGAAGGGAATCAGATGGAAGGAAGAAATTACTTCAATTAATATGTATTTTTTTTACAGACTTCAATTAGAAAACCTGCACTAATATTAGATCAAAATCAGTTTCTTAACAAATAAGAAAAATAAAGGCAAAGATGGAAATCTAAGGTATAAAAAATAAACAAAACAATAAAAAGTACTAAATAAATAGAACTGCATATTTAAACTATTTAAATAACCCTAACCCTATTTAAATAAATGTTATTAGTAAATCATTCAAAAACATTCATAACTAAATAGCATATAATTATTGTTCCTATATGAAAAAATATTTTGGCATATTTTGGCATATTTTGGTTTCTTTTGATTAAGTCCAACTTAAAAGAGTATTAGTTGCACATGTTTAACTGTAATGGAATATCTTAATATAAGCAATTCAGATACCATAAAGCAAGTACACTGAACTTTTTTTTTAAAAAAAAGATGTTTTAAATATTATCCTTTAATCTTAACTAAATCTTTCCTGTCTGCCTATTAATTTGTTAAGAGTTGAGAATACATAGTTTTGACTTTTATGCATGTAGTAGGCAGATAAGCTTAAACTAAGATTATAGGAAAAAATAGTTAAGATTAAAGGATAAAGGATAATTTCAAACATTTTTATCAGCAACAAAATAACAGAATGCAGAATAAACTATAAATTATGGTATTTAAATTGCCAATAAATTTTTCAAACTTTGAAGAAAAGATCTTAGCCATACAGGAATACAGACTGGATACTTCTTTGGTTATAGCTATTATTCCCTCAACATATTTCTAAAAAAGCATAACAACCCTGATTTATTTGCTGGACTGAAATGTCCAGCAATGCCCTCTTAAGGTAAATAAATGTCCATTATATAGAAAAAAAGGTGATGTCACCAAAACAAAAGTGTTAATAAAAATTAGTCTCTTCCTATTTAAAAAAAAGTCACAGAAGCAGAAAAAAACACATTTAGAATATGTCTACTTTGAACAACATCTCACTAAATTATTATTTTAACGTCCTTAGGATGCGCAAAGTTCATTGAGACAGAAATGGACAATTTCAGAGAATTCTAGAAAATTGTATTTCTCTTTGGATAATCTGAACTCCTGGACATATCATTTCAGGGACTATTTGGCTGTTTCATCTGGAATGCTGTGTTCAGAACACATTGGAATACTGCTGATTCACAGAATTTAATTCTGGAAAAAACTGAATCTCCACCCAGAATAGCATGGTCCAAACTGCCTCCCTGGAATTTGGCACAGTCCGAAGGGAAACAGAACATTCCATCTCCATTTAATAATGCATAAGCTTGAATTACATGAATACTTTTAACTATGAGGATAAATAGTGAGGGAGTGGGCAGGAAAACAATGCTAGAAAAATAAATGGGGTGAAAGGACTAAAAAGCAAAGAAAAATAAAATGCAGAACTGCAACAAAGGGAGAACTGAACTACTAGCACAGGAGTGTCAAACTCAATTTCATTGAGGGCCGCATCAGAGTTGTATTTGACCTCGGGGGCTGGGGTGGGCATGGCCAGCTTGATATCACCCGTGTTGGGGATGGCTATGACCTGAGCGCTCTGCCAGAGAAAACAGGCTCCCAAGCTCTGGTTTCGGCTGGGACGGCCTCCTGCTACCCTCTGCCAGCAAAATGGAGGACCACATTTTTGCTGGCAGAGGCACCGTGGGCCGGTCCTTCACTATTTCCAGGGTGGCCCCGTGGATCAGATCTAAGCACCCCGTGGGCCAGATCTGGCCCCCAGGCCTTGAGTTTGACACCCCTATACTAGCAGAATAAGAAATAACAAACAAGGAATAAGAAAAAAAAGCGATCACATAATAGTTTCATGAAAGAAAATAGTTCAAAACTGAACTGGAGGAATGTATTTACTACTGACTTAAATAGCTACTGTCAGAGTTCTGTTGATCATGATAGACAGACAGATATTAAAAACAGACCCCACTGCAATTGTTTTACAAACTGATTCATAAACTTGACAAAGGCTTGCTCTGACTTTATGTCCAAACATACATCCTTATGAACTTATGTCTATTTTAATGGTTTTCCCGTAATTAAAGAGAAGAGGCAGCGAAATAATATTCTCTTTTCCCATGCACAAGTTTCAGTCTTCATGAGATGTGTCAAATATTTCCAATTTGAAACATTTCAATTTCTAAACAGGCAGTTTTGTCCTCAAACTGCAACCTTGCCAGAACCCATTCTAAAAACGTGGCAGAATGTTCTCCACATTATTTTTCTTGTGTAATCATTAGCATCTCCATCAAATCATAATTTACACTGTGTAAGATCTTACTAATGGTGAGCATTACCACTATTGGAACTATTTCAATGTCAAGATTGCATCTGTAGTGTCCTAGAATCCCTTTTCCCCAAGTGTGAGAGGGCAGAGACAATTCAGATTGCAGAGTAACTAGCTGTGCCTGGAAGAAGATGAGCAAATTCAATTCCACTTTTCCCCTCTCTCCTGTTGTGTTTTAGCAGCTTCTCATAGGCAGTGGTTTTACATCTGGGCAAAAGTTCGCCTCCAATCTTTCTCTGTGATTTGCCTTATTCACATGAGACTTGATCCTAACTTAAGGCACCAATTCTTTATCCTCATCATAGGACTTCATGAACTCCTGGATGGTTTAAATTTGAAATGGACCACTTCAGTATCACAGTAAGCATTCCAATGATATACCAACTGTATTGAGACAGCCCCATTTCAATATCAGAATGCTTCTGGTAAGGTTCCACTGAGGGGGCAGAGCTTTGCTTAATTAGACCTGGTCTGAAAAACTGCTTTACTATTAGTGGGCTTTCAAGATTCTGTAGCAACCCTGAAAGCAATAAAGGTATTTTCAGAAATCCAAATGGTTCTTGTTTTCTGAGCTTGCTTGTCTCATGGGACTTAACAAGTTAAGAAATGTACTCACCTCCACTATTTTCTAACTTTTCTAGCCCATCATATAACCCTGCCAGATATATGTTAAAACAGAAAAGGAGCATTTTTGCCAATACAAAATTTCATCTCTGTTTTGGAAGCAGAGAGAGAATTAATGCTTTATTGACCTTGTCAATACTGTCAATACCTATACTGACAAGAGGCTGTTCATTTAACTCCTGATAACCTCACCCAGGATTCTCTCAAGCTAAAGCAGGGGTGTCAAACTCTCAGTGTCACAGCAGCATCACGTGATATTTCTCTTGATTTTCCCCCCTTCACTAAACTGGGCGTGGGCATGGTCAACGTGTGATGCATCTGTAGGCCAGAACTTGTTCAAAGCTTTTCATTGTCTTTTCCTTGTACATATATATTTTTCTATAAATGACATATAATCTTTTACATAGTAAATCATACCTTTGTTGAAGTAGCTGGTTCTCTTTTTCTTTAAGTGCTTTTTTAAATTCTGCTGTTCGTGATGGTCTATGCAGATATTTTCTTTTCCCTGTACATTCGTATGTCCAGTGTCCAAATTCCAAACATTTCTGACACCTTACATGTTGTTTATTTGCCTCCCTGTGGAAATACATAAAAGTGACTGAGACCAGTTGTTTTTATTTAAAAAGTCAAAGAGAACAAAAATTGACCCTACTTTGCTTGAAATTAAGTGGCAGTTTTAAATTAACTTTTGCTATAGTTACATTATTTATAACTTGATTACTCAAATCCTCACAGTTCAATAAATTTCATTTATTGAATCATGTTTTCTGAGACCTGCAGATGCAGGATGGCTTTTGCTAATCAAAGAAATTCAGTATGTTCCTCCTGATAGATATGATGGGATGGATAGAGATAACTAAAGAAAGATGATCCCTGAAATAACCAGTCCCCATGATTCGAAGGGTTTTATAGGTACAACTCACAACTTAAATTACACCCGGAAGCCTATTGAGAGCCAGGATAGCCTGAGTAACTAAAGTTAACTTGGGCATGTCAGATGTAGCCACAATTCTATCTATGGTTATCAGATTCTGCAACAACTAGTTGCCTGATGCCCTTCAAATCAGCCAATGTAGTAGAGCCCATTTCAGTAGCCCAATGGAAGATAACCACAGAACAAGTTACAATGAACACTGTGTTCTGTGGGTGTCCAGGAAAGGGCAAAGCCAGCATGCAACATAAAGCTATTCCAGGTCATAGTTACCACTTGTTCCTCAAAAAGGAGCCATGATCTAGGAGGACCCCCAAATAGCACATTGATTCTATGCCCATCCAGAATTAAGGATGATAAATCACTGGCATAAGGGAATCCTAGCACCTAAGTTTTGCTAGAGTTGATCTGGAATCTATTCTTCCCCCTCCAGATCCCTACAACCTCCAAACACCAAGACAGAAACTGCATGGCACTCTAGTATGAATTATTTTATTTGTATTCCACCTGATCCCTAGAACCCAACTTTACAGAAGTTCCTGTCCAGTCATTTACTAAGACTGCATTACTATTATTCTTATGACTATAACCTTGTTGCTTGTATCTCTCCAATTTATATTGTTTTGTTTCCTAGTATGATTTGATTGCTTATTTAGTAACCTATGACTATCACTAAGTGTTGTATCTTATGATTCTTGATGAATGTATTGTTTTTCTTTTTATGTACACTGATATGCACCAAAGACAAATTCCTTGTGTGTCCAATCACACTTGGGCAATAAAGAATTCTATTCTATTCTATTTTGAGATAGCTCCTCTAAATGTCATCAGAATGTCCTAGATTACCAAAGCTAGTCCCTGCTTCCACCTCCTGGCCTTAGCTTGATATTACAGCTGAACCCCAGGCAGGCAGATTTCCAAGAAGGCAATCTTCTTCTATGCTCATCCAAGTTTCAATAATATGTGCTAGGTAGCCCTCTCATCCTTATCACAAGTGCGGGAGGTTTATTATGGATTGACCTGGAATTTAGTAGCAGCATCCAAAAGCCTGGGCCTCTGAAGATTCAATGATTAAGAAATGTGACAGAGAGCAGTGGGCTGAAACACAGCAATGGTACAAGACATCCTAACTACATTTCCTGAGTGAGGCCTATTTCTTATCTCCTGCCATATTTCCCACAACTCAACTCCTGCATGACAAAGGCCAGATAGCTGTCATCCCAAACCAGAAGCTGTTTAGCAGCCATAAGGCCCAGGCTGATTGATCCCTTCACCAGCCTTCAATTCCTCCTTCTACCGCCAATCAGCTCTTATCATCAAAGAGAATCTGCTGCTGCCCAAACTCTTGCAGCCATATTCAGCAGAATATCCAGACCATTTGCCAAGATTCTCCAGCACCTTCTTCTTCATCCTTGTCACTGGGCCATGCTGATGGCCCCAACATCTGATTGGAATTGTTGTGGCTAGCACACCAATCAACTGACTTAAAACAGCTCCCCTCCTATAAGCTGTTGATGGTTATTACGATCTGTCACTTTTTAAATGCATGTTCATAACTCGGCACAAGGAACGTTTTACATTGTTTAACAGCAGTCAAATTCAAGAGATGTCATTATTAAATGCTTTATACCTAAATATCACGATAGTTGGCACATTCATTTTTTTTAAGGACTATCGGTAATTCATTTATGCAATTCAGAAATTCATTGTTTGGAATGCTATCATTTCAAAGCATTTAAAACCAGCTTTGGAGCATATTTAATTAATAATATATGTTAAGTATAGAAAGATGTTAGGTGGAGCCCACAATGGCTGGGTTCACCAAAACAAGCTAAATATACTTTATTTACTTTTAGTTCAGCAGGCTATTCAAATTCAGTCACCGCAGTTTATATCAGTCACAGTTAATGGTTCAGGAAGTTCTGCAAATGCAGCAACTTATAAATTGAACAACTCATGGCTTAGTATGGTAGATAAATAGTCACAATAAAACCAACACTCACTGGTTACTTTGCTATTCAAATTTTGTTAAAATATTGCTGTGAATCACTGACCTAATTGGAATTTATATGATTGATCCACAGATTACTTGACTTGAATTTCATCAGTTTTTGAATACAAACCAACTTAATGTATCTTAATAATTCAAAAGCGTGTATTGTACCGACTCAAATACAATGTTTGCTTCCTTGGAATTTTTATTTAAGGGCTTTTTTTCTAGTCCGTAAAGTCATCTTTTAATCTCAATATTAGCTATCTCTTTCAGAATTAACAGCATAATTTAGAGGAAGATTTATGATGTGTTGTGATGCAATCTTTTTCACTTAGATACTTTCATGTGATATCAGGATACAAGTTAAAAAAATGTTAAGTGTTTTTGTTCTAGTTTTTGTATTAGAGCTCCTGTGCTTATTCAGAATGCACTGCAGGGGGCAAACTAACTCCACACCAAATTTCAGGGATAAAATTAATGTATTTAGCTTCTGCAAGATTTAAATAACATATTTTTCCATTCACCTCCCACTCCCATTGTAAATAATACAAAAGTAGGATTTGGGAGACTGCAAAAAAGATTGCAATGTAAACTAAATTAAATTATATCACGATACTATCAGAAAAAAATTCGTTGTTCCTAATGTATTTCATTCACATGATTTTAAGAGTATTTTATGAATCCATTATCATTTTTCTTGCAAAAATATTGTGTTCTTTATGCAGTCATATTAAGGTATAGAGTTGCTGCAACTGAAATGGCCATTATTATTTGCTGCTTGAAAGAGTACAAATAGAATTGAAATAATATAAGGATCAAAACTGAAACTTCAGCACAGAGATAGGATTTTGCTAAAAAGATTATGATAGGAAAGGGTGAGAATGAAGATTGAATGTTTAAAATCCTTTAGACTCTATTTCTAACTAAACAGATTTGATTACTTTATTAAACATTGCTGTTCGTTATATGATTATGGAAAATTGGTTCTTTAATAATGTTCTAGATTTTTAAATAAAGTATTTTGTTGCCAGTATTTAATATTACATTCATAAAAGTAATTTAGCAGAATTTTTCAATCCTGTAAAGACATATAGCATGTGGGCTGGGCTGTTCACTTCTTAGATTCATATCTTTCCAATTAACTGGATTAGAATAAGATTGTATACAGAACTAAAGGTAAGAGATTATCCCCCTTGATAGGGTGATCTTTTAGGAGTCTCAAAAATAATTCTATAACTCCACTAGCTGATGGTGAAGAATGTTGAAAATTGTACTTCAGCAGCTCTAAGAGAACCAGAAAAGCCCTGAACAATTAAACTGTAGATTGAAAACTGTGGATTGAAGAATCAAAATGCAGCTAGCCTATAACATAGATAATATCTGAATGGGCCATCAAAACATCTACACAAAAATTTCACCATATATTTGCAATAAGCTTCTTCTGATGAAGTAGTGGAAAAAGGCAACAGAATGTCTGAAGACCAGTTCAGATGAAATGAAGCAAAGCATCAGAGTGTGTGTATAAATCAAACAGTCTATTCAAGAACACAAACATTACTGCAAATTAATATTCTGTGATATTTTCTTATCACAAAAAGATAAACCATCTTGATTTTACATCTAAGCAATGTTTACAAACATGATTAATTTTAGAAAATTAAGACACACAACTGGGCTCTCATTTTATGTGGCTCATTTAACCATGGTTTATTGCTTCCTTAAAGTTATGAATGACATCCAGTCTCAGAGAAGCTGCCACTGTCTGCTTGATAGTTTCAAATTCTGATTATTGCTGACAGGAATACTAAAAATTGTGAGATTAGATGATATAGTCTGAAAGTATGTGTGTGTTATATAAATAACAATTGGGACAGGGTTGAAGACTTAGAATTAAATGAATGTTATGAAAGATTCCTAAGAAGTTAAGAACCTCTTAACTAATTCCAGCGTTGCAAAATATTTAGATTTACAGAGAGAAAACAGAGTGCCAGAACTATTAATGAAAGCTCACTATAAAATGTTAAATTAAGAGCTAATTAGAAGGCATGCATTACATTTAATGTAATATATCTAAACTGTGTTACTGAAATATTTGAAGTGTAAGCATGTTTCTCACCATGTTTGAACAAGTAACCTTTTGTGAGAAAGTTATGGAGGACGGTACTTGCAGGTGCACGCCACCAAGCAAAGCAAAATAAACAGGGCAAGAAGTTACGACCAGAACTGCCCAGATACCCATTAAACCGCTTGCTCAGTATGGTTTTTCCACAGCAAGCGATGCTGAAAGAAACATACCGCAACACACAACGGACCGAAAGAGGCTCTCCTCCCGAGGTTACTATCACGGGGGCTAGGACATCTTTCGCACCTCTCTATTCCCTGATCCCAAGCAGAAGCAGCGGGGTTCTAGGTACTTCAGCACCTGCCCCCTCAACCCGTACACGCGAATCCAGCCTCCTTAAAAGACCAATTGCACACATGCAACTATTTCTTGCCTTTTTAAAAAGGTCTTCCCAATTCTTAGCGCTGTCCTCCCATAACAGCTGGGAAGCAAGTGGTTTGGATTCCCTCCCATCCTTCGCCCGCAGAACTGCCTCCAGCTCGCTTAACGCCCCTCTCTCGAGAAGCCCTGAGTGGTAGCTTCTTCCTCGCCAAGCCCTTCTTTGCCCTCCACACACACTCACGCTTGTCTCCGAGCAATCAAACGATGCATGGGAGTCGCCATCTTAGCCATCGGCTGGGCACGGACTCATGAGGCATGCCGGGAATTCCACCCTCCCTTTTCCTGTTCTATCGGATGACGTATTTCGGTAGCCCGTGAAAAGAACGCGGAGGGGAACGTCCGGACTGTACCATTGGGCATCGTAGGTGGGGGTCTTTGCTCTCTTCTGCTTGCCCGCACTCTTTTTCCTCCCAAGCATCTCTCGCCTTCCTTAGCCTTCTTCCGAACTATTAGTAATCAGTTTTTCTGGAGGATTCGGCCAAAACAGAGCAGTTTTTATTGAAGTACTTTTGATGTACAATCAGAATGGAATAAGCCATTTCGTACTGCAAGTTCTTTCTTAAAAGAGAACATTAGCTATAAAAAGGAGGCGGGGGAGATGCTGGTCTCTAACATGGAAACACACACACACACACCCTTTATTTCTTTGAGAGTGGTAGAACATTCAAAATTATACATATCTTTCTGCAATCTCAGGTAACACTGCCAGAGTCGTAACTTCATACAATGAGGTTCTAAAATCCATAGGAATAAAAGTGGGTTATTACTTGAGAATGTATGTGGTACGGTTTGTGATGTTATGTGCTCAACAAAAGAAGAAGAAATCATAATTTAAAAAATATTTATTGTACCACTGTTTCCTTGTTATATTTTGCTTACATGGAACGGAAGTATTACAATCAGGCAGATCCTCAGACTGAATCTGGCATTTTTATCCGCCTATCAAGTCTTTCCCAACCTGGGATAGGTGGATGTTTGATGGTGTTAAATGTATTATTCTACTTCTATTTTCAGGTATTTGTATTTTGTGATTATCTCAAATTCTTTTTTTTTTACTATTTCCAGGTACTGCCAAGTCCACTATCCAAACTTTTTTGTTTTTCTTATTGACAATTGTTAACTGAGGTATTATGTTGCACACACACTTTTATACCTCACAAGTTATAACATAATATGATAAGGTTTTGATGACTCAGACAGATTGGAACTTATGCTTAGTCATCTTCGCACAAAGTATGACCAAAGCTAAAATAAATGTAATTTATCTATTACTTGTTCAACCAATATCTATTTACTGTAATTGGCCTTTTTAATGAATGAGAATTGGATTGGTCTTTACAAGATTATAAACAAAATGTAACTAATTACATACCATTGATAAAATCAACTATTTCTTTTGGAAGGGCAGACATCAGAATATTATCCAACTGTTAAGATACTGTTTTTTATTTTTAATCCAACACCTACTTTCTCAATTTTTCAGAATATAAGAATGAAAAGGCAGCTTTCTGGTATGATACCCTATAAATACAGTACATTTGTTAGGCCTCTCTTTATAAATCAGGCACATAGGCTGAAATGTCTATGGAAATTTTGAAATAATTTACATGCATTGTAAGTCATAAAGGAATTTATATTAATATTTATATAAATATAGAAAATAATTTTTCAATTTCATCTTTTGCCATCCGTGTCTAGTGCCTATCCTTGTTATCCTAGCAGAATTTGTACCTCCCAGAACACTGCAGGAGGTTGTGAAAAATCCTCTTGAAAGAACAAAATTCATCTGAGTGTAATTTTGACCCCAATCCCTTGTGTCACAGTTTGGGCACTCAGCTACCAGCCTATATTTACAGCCATTTGTAATGGTTCAAATTCACATCACCATGATTTACAACTTTTTTTTTTCAGAACCCAATGTTTACTTTTGGCTTCCAGTAAAGAAAAGCCCATTGTGAACTATGGGCTTGCTTAATGACCACTTAACTGCCACAAAAAGGTTGTAAAATTGGGTGTGGTTACATGATGACCTGCTTAATGACTGGTCGGATCTAGGACTGGGTTAAATTACTGTTGTAAAATCAAGACTACCTACAGACAGGTTCTTGCCAGATTAAACCTTTACTACTGTCACTCTAATGGATCTCCCTGGGAGTATCTGTCATTTTCTTCCCGTCTCCTATCCAGCTCTGACCTGGGCTGCCTCGTTTCCCTCCTCTTTCTGGAATGTGCTCCCTCCTTCCTATATTTCACTATAGTCCATTATACTAGCTCTCCCTTCATGGCCACCATCTCTCACAGAATGTTTTTTCCCCTCTATGACACTTCTTAAGCCACTTCTCTAACACTTCTCTGTACTGAATTCACACAACATACAGGCTTGGACAGTGATAGTGAACCTATGACATGCATGTCAAAGTTTTGATGATACAGCATTATTGCAGTGTTTCCAACACCCAACAAAACTATTCTTGAAAGGATACCCTGTTCACATGAGATTTTTGGAGACTGTAGGAGAGCATTGGCCTGCCATACAACTCCTGGAGGCTCCAGAGGTTTTGCAAGATCACACCCTATTCTTGCCTAGCTTCTTCTTTTAGGTCATTAGTGAATTCTGTTTGTTTCTGCATGCATGCACTTTGAATTCTCAGTGTGAATAGTCTATTCAGATTGTTCTGAACAGAAAGAAGAATAACAATTGGAAGGGACCTTGAAGGGGACCTTCTAGTCCAACCACCTGATCAAGCAAGAAACCTATACCATCCATAAAAGTGGCTGTCTGGTCTCTTCTTCAAAGCCTCCAGGGATGGGGCCTGTGGTTAATTGTTCTCACTATTAGGAAATTTCCATTGGGAAATTTCTTCTTAGTTCTAGTTGCTTCTCTCCTTGATTACTTTTCCATCGTTTCTTGTCTTGCCTACTGGCACTTTGGAAAATAGGATGAACTCTTCTTTGTAGAAACCCTTCAAATATTGGAACAGTGCTATCATATCACCCGTAGTCCATTTTTTCACTAGGTGAGACATACCCAATTCCTGCAATTTCTTCTGCTTCTGAAAATTGGATGAGAATGGGGTGGGCTTTCACATGGATTTTTGGAGGCCGCAGAGACTGCAGAAGAGCATTCCACAAAACTGCTTCAAGAATGAAGGTCTTATGTGAAGTACAGCAGCCTTGGGGAGCTGCAAAGGTCTGTCAACAGAAAGAGATCACTGCCTGAAGGTAAGTGGCATGTGGCAGATCCTGGAGATCACCCGATTAGACCAGTGCCCCCCAACCTTTTTTGTGCCACGGCCCGGTACCGGCATCACAAAATGATCCGCGGCCCGGTACCGGCATCAGCATGCATGACAAGGCAAGGCGAGCCGAGCAACCGGCCAGCCAGCCGTCCCCCGCTTCTCCCCGCCACCTTCAACTCCTCTTTTGTACCTGTTTTTGTGCTTTTTTGTGCTTTCTTAATCTCCTCCGCCATCGGGACGGCTCTTCGTTCGAAGCCGCCCCCTCCTTCGATGAAACTAAGGCGCGAGGATTCCTTCTGGA